ATGTTGATATGTTTAAACACATGAAGTATCAAAAGAAAAAAAAAAGATCAGAGATCTTTATTGCGAGACTTTCTATTAATAGGCTATAATCCTCTGATATTTAAAAATAATATTGAAATAAGAGCGTATAATCAGCTACAGTAAAAACAACAAGGTCGTTAATTATCGTTTCATTCAATCAACAACAATTGCATTCAAGTACATACAAGCAAAGCAAATGCCGATTCATTCTTGACATGTTATTCTATGACTCAATGTAGGTAGAGCTCACAAAGATGAAGGCACATTCACAGAACAGATCCGCGAAAGTTTATGAAATTCCGGGATCACAACATAATCGTTTCAAATAAAAAATATAAATACCGACAGCAAATATTGATAGCAATATAATATTAATTGTCATATAACTGTTTATTTGTGATGTTGAAATTCTTATCTTTTTCCAACATTAATTGAATAGCAATTTAAAATTTTAATCAACATAAGCATTAAATCATGTTGAAGTGCTATCCGCTATTAAAAAGGTGTTGCGGTGTCAGATGCGTTTTGCAACGAACGTTTTTTTTTTTCTGTAATAAACATGTTGCGTAACTTATAATTAATATAAGTGTTATTTGCGTAATCAATGTAAGTGACGGTACTCACTTTCTTGCCTTTTCTACGAGCGCGCTGAATGGATTCTCCCAGGTGTACATCTTGATGGCTTGAATTCCGCTGATAATCTCGTTTGTCAATCGCACCCTCTCGTCCGTCCTGATGGCGGTCTTTAATCTCAGCTGCGACGACTTTTTGCCCAGCCACGCTGAGAAATTGCGAGAACAAAGCGTGAAAACAAGATTAGGACGAAATAGCCCGACGATAATCAGACGTACGAGGTATGTTAATCAACTAGAGAAACGCATGGCTCGGTAATTGGATAATTTAGCGAGGAACTTCAGAAATTCACTTAGAGACAAACATGATAACGCGAGTTTAGAAATTCAGAAACTTCGCTATTTAATTAACAGAAAAGCTTCTAAAAAAAAACCCACAAATTAGAAAAAACAGAATTTTGAATTGAAATTAATTCAGATTATTTAATATTTATTTAGATCATTTAATTTATTATAAAAGCAGTATAAAACAAAGATTTAATCAAAGTAAAAAAAAATTTCTGGTTGTTCTCTTGAATATTCTGAATTTTGTAGCACACACGCGCGCGCGTGTGCACACATACATATTTAATTGTATTTCAACTTGACTTGGCCCAATTATTCTTATCGAATGAAAACAGTCAGTGCGGCAACTTCCTCACCTTGCAATGGGATAAACAGCAGCAAAGACGCGACGCCGATGATGGAGGATACTCCGATCTCGAGCACGTAGTACATGATGAACGTGAGGATGACGGTCTCCAAGGGTCCGAGCCACAGATAATGTAGGAATATGATACTAACGTCAAATCTGTTGACGTCATTGGACAGCAGATTGACCGCTTGGCCGATGGTCGTCTCGCCCAGCGCGGTCTTGGTCAGTTTCAATGTTTTCCGATAGATTAGCGAGCAGCAAGCCACGCGGATCTTCATCCCTTGATGCAGAATCCCCATCATGTACGGATGGATGACGAATACGTTGATCGCGGAGCAGAGAATGATGCCCACGGCCCAGAGATACGCCTCGAGGAGATCAACCTCCGTGGAATTGTAATAGCGCAGCAGCTGACCTAGGCACATCGGTTGCAACACCCTGCAAGAAGAAAATCCGTTAGATTCACGTGCGAGGGACGATTCACACAAATAATACTCTTTAATATAATTATTATAAATGGATAAGAGGAAGGGATAATGTAGATTAAGCCAATGCGTCATAAATTAGTCACTTTCTAATCGGGGGACTTAACGAGGTGCGGTGATTCTCCTCTTTTGCATGCCGGGATTACAACAGGTAGAATGCGTGTCAGGTGTCTTGCACTGATAAGGGGGCACAGATGAGTGGTGATGAATCGACGGACAGATAAACACGGCGTCAAGCATCTGCATCACTCCAAAGGGAAATCTACAAGGCACTGCCAGCACTCGCTGATAAACTCCAAGTTGATATTCTTTTCTTTTCACGGGCGTGAGGCCAGATCGCGTAAGGCACATGTTACGAAGGATTAGGACTTTGAACTTATGAACACACGTTCTTATGGAAATTTCTGCGGAAAGAAGAATTTCTTTAATTTAAGTGTATAAATAATAAATTAGGAAGTTAAACTAGATAATACAATTCCGAAAAAGTTCCTAAATCTCAGGGGGCTTTAAAAAGTGCAAACCTTAAATCCTTAAGGTACAAATTTCCAAATTTGAAAATTATTTTAATTTTCGTTTTTTTAAATTCATAAGGTTCATGGTATACGAGCCTTAAGGAAACTAAATCAAATTTGCAATTCACTTGATTTTTATCTATTAACTGTCACTTTATTTCAATCAAAGTGTCTCTATCTCTTTCTGAGCATCTTTGCTCAGATTTTTATTTAATTCATAAAAAAATTCGCGGCGCGCGACAGCTCGTTAATAAGGCTACTCGCGAGCAATCGTGACTTGAGGATTTCAATTTCCGCGAACCGGAAAATTAAATCAATCAACGATATACGACGTATATTTTTGTTTTGTAGACTCGTCATCAAGAGAGTAACCAAGTAAAGTAACAGGTAAAGTGATGGAGGGAGCAGCAGAAAAAAATTGGGATTAGGGAATTCAGATGGGGAATTCCGAGAGAAGAGTGAAAGAGATATTTGTACGATACCTGAGCAAGATCTCCATGACGGCCAAAAACAGTCCGTACAACAGGGTCGTGAAACCGAAGCACCTGACGAGGACTCTCAACAGGCTGGGCCCCCTGACCTTCTTCTGGGACCCGCTCCTCGCGTTCTTCTCCAGCCGATCTCTGTACGCCTCGCATTCTTTCTCCCAGGCCTTCGCTATTTTAACACCAAGAATACCACTTGTATGCTCTTTAAGCGGTGTGTACAAATCAGTTACTTCAAGATCCCTGCGGTAACCCACCCAGAAAATGCGTAGGATCCAACTGCGAAGAAAAGCAAAGCACACACACACGTTTTTACTCGCACAAACCGTGTCCGTGAAATCGCGCGAATCTTTCTGTTGGGATTTACGTATCAGGCCCTACATTCCGAGTATTTTCCGAGTTATTTTACCACCACTTTGTTATGTTCCATTATCTCAAAATTCGATCTGTGTGCCCGCCTGCCCTTAATGCCCCGAAGAAGAGAAACCGCACTGACGTGTTGACATGTTTAATGGCAAAATCAGAAAATCCAAGAGCGACAATTGGAAATAATTTCCATTCAAGTGAAAGCTTCAACGTCAGATATATCGTTAAAAATTATCAAATCAAGTTACTGTGATAAAATAAAATTAGACAATTAATTAATATAAAAATGTCCCTTAACTGTTTGTCGGACCCATAATGTATCCATACGAATATGAAATTACTGAAATTTTGTCAAAATAACTCTTGATTATTCCGGAAAACCGGAGTCTATCCGAAATAAAATCTTCAATTTTAAATAGAGATTTGCTTGTTCGGAAATTAAAAAAATCATTTCGCTCGATCACGCGTAATTTCCCAATTATTTTATTTCCAAATGGAACGAAATCGATAAGGTATAGGGAAATGCACGCAAACATCATCGAGCATTAGGTATGAAAACAAAATCAACGAAAATTAACGGACTATTCCCTCCATAAAGATTCCAAGATGATCCTAACATTATTTATAGACTTTTATCTTTTCAGCTTCCGATAATTCATAATCGCATAAGCTCGTTTATCGCTCAAGACCGGTTCGATCAACTGATAAATGACGGTAAATTGTAAACCAAATAACTCCATTCTTCTTTCTGTTTGTTCATCTATTACGATTTTTCCAGAAAGTAACTACTCTTAAGAAAATGCAATGTAATCGATAATAGATAGAAGTAATCCCCTGAAGCCTTCGGTCAAACGTCTCGAATATTAACGAAAAATCCAACATCGTCGAATTAAAGAAAAATGTGAAATTTTGTCGAAGTTGTAAAATTAAACAAAAACGTGGACAGATTAATTTCGAGTTCATTGCAATGTAATTCCAAATTTCATTTCTTCGAAACGATCCTTTTCAGGACGGAAATCTGTTCACGCGGACACGTATTTTTTTTTTCAAAAATCGCTGGATACGAACTTAAGGCCAAAATTGGGAAATTTAAAATAAAAAATCCAATATAAGGAACTCTAATTAATGTTATTTGTATCCATTTGTCATCAAAGTTATGGATTATTAGTTTTTGGAAGTTTACTGAAAGTTACTGGTTTTTGAGAGTTTTTGAAAATACGAATTTGATATATTGATAAAAATTGTTTCGTTTAAAAAGAATTGTTTAATTTTTTTACGTCTGCTATATTGAATCCATCAATTTTGAATTTCACAATTTCGCTCAATTTCGCGATGATGATGCATTTTTAATCAATGTCTTAAAAAATTCTAGGCTAAAATAGGTACTAAGGAGT